ACACTGAAATTACTCGTGCTGTGCATCCGTTAATAATGCAAGAGGAATTCCTTAATTCGGCTCTTATTTTGAGAACAAAAGAAATAATCTTGGGAAAGAAGCTATAACATCAAGAAGACGACAAACAAGGTAATGTTTAGCAGAAGAAGTACTTGCGCGTACAGTAGATAGTTTTTCACAAAAGCATTGACTGAACTTGCAAATTTTACGATGAAAAGGCAACTCATCAGAAATAAGGGTAGAGGTGGTGAAGGGGCGAAGGAAAGCCATGAGGAAGGCCACGAACCCTAGAAGTAGGGACCCTCATTACTCTTCCATTTTTGCATTGATGCGACTCTTATCGGTGGTGCCCTCTTCAAAGCTAACGCTCTCTTTTCTTGACGGCTACACCGTCAGACAGCGAGAGAGACGTTCCGCACTGATAGCGCAGCGGGGAGAGCCATGCTTCGCTTGTGGCAGATCCTCTGCTAGGAATTGAGTGCCGGTCCGCAGCCTGTATTCCCACTGGGCCTCCTTAGACCTTCGATTTCATGTGATCCTCGTTGATTGTACGAGCAAGAACTCTACAATATTATCTTCCAGTTCAATAGATTCGAAATCTCTCCTGTCTGTATTTTCAACTGTACTTTCTTTGATTGATTATGCTTTTACCATTGTCTTTCTAATTACTAAGTGAGTTCCTGCATTTTTCATTTATTTATGCAACGCTTCTTCCGCTAACGGTTTTTTCAGCTGCTCTTGCTAGAATCAATTTGAATTGTAGCTCGAAGTCGAATTGTTTTCGAATTCGAATTGCTTTGCTTCTGACGAGCGTGAGCACCTGGCTGTAGTCAAAACAAAGTCAACTCTTGAAAATGAGCGTATCCATCTTTTAGCACCCTTTATTTTACATAAGCAGAGGGGAAAGGGTCGAATTTTGTCCAGAGTTTTGTTCGTAGAAATTTTGAGATCAACACAACGTGGTGGCTCATCTTGGATGAAGCTGCTTGCTCAAGGACGAATATTGGGGTGAATGTAGCACAGAGTTGCTTTACAACAAAATCGGTGGATGGATACTTCAACATACAGGAAGGGGGTGGCAAAAAAAATCATCTTGCCTATGACGCATTTCAGTGATATTTTCGCCGCCAAGATTGGCACATTGACGGAAGTCATGAAGCAGAATATTCCTCAAATGCCCTCTATAGGTCGGCGCAAGCTCTCCTCCACTGCCCTCACCGTCTTCTGAATTCGACGTCATCTGCCATCGCTGTCGAACCCGAGGAGATCTACCGTACGTACTTCAGTCTAAAGCTGCAACTGTTGAAATTTCTCTAGAGATTTCCTAGAGATATCAGCTCCGACTGTGCTAACCCCCATCCAACCAGCGCTTCAGAAAACGTCGTGCTACAGTAGTACATAAATCGTCGAGGACCCCGTCGGGCTGGACCAATCCACCATTTTTGCGCAGCTATGTTTTCTGACGTCGATCACTTGAAAGGCCCCTACGAATATTTTCTTCACAAATGGAATGTGCGCTTCAATTCGATGACTGCATTCATTTTGAATCTAGCGAAGTATGTATAAAGCCATCCAAATATAAAAGCAAATCCTTTTCTGATTGGCCTCCTTATCATACCTTCATCATGATTTAGCACGAAATAGTCCATTGTTACGCGCTGCTGTAATCGCAGAAATGGCATGGCGGGAGTAACTGTGCTATACACGAACGTGAACAACAACGAAACTCACCAGGCCACATTTGAATAGAACGGCCAAAACCATGGCGTGTGATGGCCTAAAAATACTACCGTTCTTACTACTTGAACAATAGAAATATGAGAAGGCTAGTGTTCACATGTGCCCAGGTGCATGAATGGGCTCAGGGGCAGTGATCACGATGACTGGAGGAGCGGTGCCGTGTTAAAGATGTCATTGGACATCATTGGTGGTAACACCC